GGAATCTTTAAGCACTTAATTTTATACTTTACAGTTGCGATACTTGTTTTTGGCTCCTTCTTCTTAACGAAATCAATCTTCATCAGACCATCCAAATTTTCTTCCTCATCTGGATCTAGCGATACAATCTCGGTAATTAAAGAAGTATTGCTTTGAGATTCTATCTTTTCCTGGATTAGAGGCGCTTGATTCAGTATATTAGCTTTAATAGGGTCTTAGGAAAAATAATTAAGAAAAATTAATTTAAGTTCACTTTAGAGGACTTTATGAATAGTTTCTTTTAATGAAGTTTTAGATATCTTTTTAAGAGACGATTTCTTGAAACTAGAGTCTTGCTTTACTTTTTTTTTGACTTAGCTATGTTAACGGTGATATCACCTCTAGAATCAGAGAAATCCTTTGAACTTGTATCAGAGTCAGAACTATTACTAGAAGAAGTATTAGAGGAAGAACTTGAACCTGAATCTGGATCTACAGTGGCAAGATTAACTTTACCCTTTTTAGACTTCTTGCTTTTCTTTTTCTTTCAAGGGCAGTTTCAGGAATTATGTCCAGATCTTCTGCAAGTAAAGCATTTGTGACCTGTTGATTTCTTAATAGCATGTTTGATAGAAGTATTTATAACACTATTTAATGTTAATCCTGCTAAGCTATCTGAAATATCATCTACAGGATCATGATTATTTTCATCAGCAAGGTGTATATATAGTTTTTTTCTTAGTAAGTCACTCAAAAAACATATAATGGCAGTATTTTCTACTCTCTTATCAGCTGATTTTTTACTATTATCTAGAGTTTTAGTCACTCGAGACATAGTCTCTTGCAAGGATTTAGCTACAGCTTGTAAATCAGCCTTAGTAATATTTTTCTGACCGGAAGAAGATGCTGGTGATTGATTTAGCATTGATTGCTATAATACCTGAATCCTACTATTTACAATCCTATCAACATCTTCTGTAGTAATACCTGATGAAAAAGCGCTTTTGGTTTTGTCTTAGTAGCTGGCTGGTTATAAATATCTTCACCCAAAAGCATGTCATTCTTTTCTATTTCAATCTGTTCCAAAGTTTCAATCAAATCATCATTCAAAAGTCTGTTTAAACCTAATCACTTCAATTCTAACTTGTTTTCAGAGGACAAGCCACGTATAAATTGTATTCTTTTTTCATGATCAGATATTCAGGCCCAGCTAGCATATTTATCTATCTTTCTATAGTAATCTCTAACTGAATCGGATCCTTGAGTCAAAGTACCAAAAATCATTTGTTGTTGCTCTCGAACAACTATAGGATAATTTCTTTAAACCAATAGATGACCTAACTAATATTAATATCAGAGAGGACTATATGGTTATTATTATTTAAAACTCTATTTGGTGCATTAGTTGCTGTACCAGTGTCTATAGGACACCCCAGCAAGAGACCAATCCTCATTTATATGAACATTATGTGCTGGAATAACTGTGGTGCCAGTAGCTCTATCCGGTAATGCTAGTGGTAGAGTACTATCTGGTGCATTGATCATGGTGGCCATTATGTTAGCATTATTCAAGGCCACTACGGCAGCCATATTTGCTAAAGCATTCCTACATCTTACATGATTCAATCGCCATTTTTTATCTATGAGTTTGTCTTCGACCCAACGTGATGCCTCACCTGTCAAGCATGACTGAAATAGTTTTAAAGCTCTCTGTTTGCCAGCCACATTAGCAGTATTAATATTAGCCGCTATAAGATAAAGTCTGTAATCTTTTATAAATTTATCTATATCTTTATCTGCTCTACCTGAGAATCTTTTGGGTACATATCCTGCCATTCCTATTTGTTGTATATTAAGTAGGTTATTCTGTAGTACAAAAATTTGTTGATTTAAAATTAAAATATTCTGGCGCTCTACATGAGTTTTATTTTTCCATTTCTCATATCACTCATAGAGTCTGTCTCTATTATATTCTAACAAACCTCTATCAGCTCTGCATCATTGTAGGTAGTAGGCATTTCGTTGATATAAGATTTGTAAGGCAAATTTTTCCTGTAGTAATACACAAATACGGGTTCGCTTTTCTGTTATATTGTCTAATATTCTGTTTACTTGATTCTGAGCATTAGTCCGCAACTGATCATGCTTCTGCATTGCTTGATCATACTTCTGTCTGTATATATCACGATTCCATCGTTTGTTTACTAAATCCTGTTGCAGGTTAGCATATTTTCATTGGATTGATCTTGTTGCTCTCTTAATTTGATTTTTTAAAATAGTTAAACATATTGTTGTATCATCTAGAGAGCAGTCTATAGCATCGGCTAATTCGGCTATTGTACCCATATCTAAATTTTGATCAAAATTATAAATATCTAAAGAATACTCATCAGAGTTAGATTCATTTTCGTTAAAGTTCTGTGCTTCTGCATTTTGCAAAGCCTCTCTGGTATTTATAAGCTCCAATCTATCTCT